CTTAATCTTCAGCCCTTACCAAACCCAGCCTGGTGCTGGCCATAACGTTCCCTAGTGCTGGCTATCATGACCTGACCTTCATCAAAAAGTGCCACTGTCCGAGGGCAAACTCATATTAACAAGATCCCCCAAATTTCACTACCGCCAGGCGCCAGCAGCACCAAGCAGCAAAGCACGACACGACGCAACTTTGGGGTTCGGGCCGCCGTGCTGTATGTCTGTCACATTGAGAGGAACCTGGCCAAGAAAAACGTGGACAGCCGCAGTCTGGCCGGGCCTGAAAGGCAACTCAAAAAAGCCCGGCCGTCGGTCTGAGAGCTACCTCACAGTACCCTCGTCCCCTTGATATTCGGCGCCTCTCCACTAGGTAGTGACCACCTCACTGTTAGTAATTATACGGATTCCGCAAGAAACCTGGCAGAATGGGCCGACATCGTGATCGTCCCGAACTTTCACAAACCAGGCCCACCTTTGCGGATCCTCCTCGTTGCGGCAAAACGAGATCGCGATGCGATGGAGATATGCTATGCCCTGCCATGACTTGTTGTTGGTGTCTCTTTTTTGGAATTGGCCCATTATCGTCTCTCAACACCATATGCCGTCCAAACAAACCGGATCCAAACACACCTCACCTCAACCCTTTCGATGCCGTCTCTTGTTGCAAACACCGCGCGTCCATTTCGCATCCATCTGACAATCCGAGCCGATATGAATGACTCTTGTTGACTCTGCTCATCATGCTTGACTTTAATCCGTGCCCGTGGCTTTGATAGAACCCCTCCTCTTGAGAAAGAAGCACCAGAAGAACGATTAATGCCGCGACTTATCCTAAGACGGTGACCATCGCGCGCAACTGTGCACAAGCAGAACAAGAGAATGCGCACGAAGCAGCAGCTTAGCCGCTTCAAACGGTCGTTCGGCAACAAACACCCACCATCATCACCAACACACACACCATTGATGAAGGCCCCGCATAGCGATTGCATGAAGATCGTCCGCAAAAATAAACAGACCAGACCACGATCAAACCAGACCAGCCAAACTATGCTCTTGCGAAAACGGGCACAAGTTGCCCTTCTTCCTTTTGTCACACCCTGTTTACTTCGGTGGGATGCGTGGCTTCGGGAGGGGAGGGGAGCGAGAGGTCTTACCGCAAAGCGCGCCGTTTTGAACCGCTTCTTCACACCAAGTTCTAACCGCTTCTCTCCCCGTCACGCCCGTCTGACAAGAACATGACTCGTCCCTGGCGCCATTGACCGTTAGGCTTTCTCTCATGCGGTTGCGGCAGCCGCTAGAGTTGACAGCCCATACAGCCCACGGCAGCCCGAGAGCCAAAAAAGGCAAAACATGAAAAGTCAACCATTCTTTTTGAGTTTCCATGTTAAGTTCCCGCGTCGGGCTTGTTCAACGGGACCAAGAAACCTATTGGACGGGTTGAGATTGTTATCAAGCCTGACGGATACCTTCATCATGACTTGTCCGGTTGTAATAGCCGCAAAGGAAGGGAGAATGGTAGAGCAACTCTATTTCGTCTGGACTTCTGTAACCCTTTCCCCTCATGTATTCGCGTCCTTCCTCGTCCTTAATTACCCTTTTTAATATCAACATAGCTTCAAGTTCGTTCATGCAAAGCTTCCCTTAGCTCCCCTTCAACACACACACACACACCACCCCATTCTCACGACTCTCACAACTTTTCACGCGTCAGTCAACCGCGAGCTTCCACTTCTCCTCTTCATCTCACACATAAGCGAATGGGTCAAAGAGTGAATTGGCTTTTGCTTGTCTTTCGGGACGAGATCGGGATGAGGGGGGGCGGAAACTTCTTTTCCCATTTCCCCTTCCTGCCTTTGCTTGACACAACCTAGATCCTTGGGTTTTCATCTCATTTCTCGGATCATAAATTTCTCTGCTGATTTTCTTCTCAACGGTCCAAACTTCACGCACTAAGACGGTAGGCCATCCATGAAGAGTGGGCGATAATTACTCCGTTATTAATGACGATGCGATGAAAAAAAAAAATGTCCATGAGGGAGACTTGTAAGATCTTCAATGACGGAACGTGTCACACGTTAGACAAAACCGAGCGCTTAGTAGTAAGTACATGCGTACGGAACCAAGAAGAATTCCAATGCAGGCACTTACACGTTTACTGAACCAAATAACGATTCAACCCTCTCCTAATTAGTAGAGTGCAAGACATCCCAAAACACGTTCTTACGCAGGGGGGCCCGAGGTTTTGTCGAACAGAGCCCATGCCTGGCGACCTAATCTGCTTGATCTCCAAGTCTGGACCAGGGACGGGGGGATCGGAAGAGACTCCGGGCATGCATTCCCCCCAAGACAACCATTACCAAGACTCACTCAACACGCAGCAGAACGCGGGATGTTTGATGCACCACCACCCCAAGAGAAAAAGCAAAATTACAATATGACGGCAGTGGGTTTATTTTGTACGTTGCTTGGAATTCCCGACTCAAGGGGGCACGGCGGGGGCGTGGTATCTTAGTGCAATGCTTGCTCAGCCCGAGGAATAAGAAACTCCAACAGAGACAAATTCGTCATTGTAGGTCGACACTTGTGACGTTGGAGGGCACAGGCGGGCAGATCACCACATCCTTCGGGCCCTTTTAGGCTTCATCCATCCACGCATCTTGTTGCGCACCGACATGCGGCTTGCCGTGGGCCCACGGGCACTTACAGATGGAGATGACAGAGACAAGAGGAAAAGAGCTGAATGTGAGATGTCCATTTCCCAAGCCAAGCCATGTCACCCCATGCCTCGGCGCACCCACGGACGCAACCTCCTTCATGATGTTCAGGCACGATATCCCATCACGGGCATGTCTTCCTAGCCTCCCTCTCTGGTGTGGTCAGTCTTTACGTGCTTGCCACGGCCAAGGAGATCGTATTTTGATGGGCAACCATCGCCAACGACACATTAAAAGTGCCTCCTCTCAAAGCGGCAATGATATGACAAGCTCTGGATCTGGACCCCAGACGCCCGGATGCTGGCTGACCACCACTACTTTAGTCCGCCAGCCGTTGCCTTTGTATCACATCACGTTGAAATCCCATTTGATGGAATTTACAAAGATGCAAGTAGGAAAGCAAAACATTGCAAGATCTAGCAAAGTCGAAAAAAACGCCTAATCAGTAGAATACGGGCTGTCGAGCGTTGGCTTGCATGCGGCTTGCAGACTTGTGTGAGAGACAGCCAATGCTGTAACGACCACGCCGCGGCCCTGGGCACATCACATTCCATCAGCCCAATCCCCATCCCATGCACAGCACCCACAAAGTGACGCCGGCAGAATCTGTCTCTTGTGTTGTTGTTGACGATACGGATGACGGTCACTGGACGCATCTCATCCCCTTCCGCATCCCAGTGGCATCGAGTGGCATCTGGTGGCATCCAATGTGATGCATTGGCGATGTTGGTCCAATCGACAGCGTTTGCCTCGTTTTCGAGAAGTACGTACCTCTCTCTACCTCAATGGAGGTACGTAGTTTACGCAGTAAGGTACGGATACCTCTAGTCATCACTGAACAGGCGTTGGAGAACCTCCCACACTAGACCGCCATCAGCGCCGGTTTCCTTCCATCATCCGCTGGCAAACCAGACGCTAGTGAGGGTTAGGAACTGGCATCCACTGGAGAGTTGCTCTGTATAGGTCCGTATAGACAGCATTCTGCCCGGTGAGCGAGATGAAGTGGTCCACGACTCCACGATGCTGCGGCTGTTCTATGCGTCCCTATGTCTCATTCTCTACTTGTACAACTTCCAAGTTCCCCAAAGTCACAGATCCCCGGCTTCAATCTCCACTTTTGGCCGAGTTCAGCTTTGACGAATCACAGCTCGCCCACGCAGCTCTAGAAGAAGACTAGCGTCGCAGGGCGAAGCTCGATTGGCTACGGCTTGTTCCCGCAAAGTGAGGCTGCCGCCCCGCCGGCTCCGACGATTGGCTCTTTGCGTTCGGGGGAAAGAGAGGAGGTACGTACCCTTCCCTTTTCTCTTCCTCCTCTTCCTGAATCCTCGTCTTCCTCCTCCACCAACTGTGCAAGTCCAACACCATCCATCCATGGAGCATGGCGGCATGGCCACTCCCTACACGGCCAGGCTGAGTCTCGTCTCGTCTCATCTGCCCAGGTGTGCCAGACCTCCTCCTCCACTCGAACGAACTCTCTCGCTCGTGACCGACCCGTTCCTGGGGCCAAGGAACGTGCAAGTGCCAGTTCTCTCTCTCCAGTCTCCATCATCACGGCATCGCCCTCACCTAGCGTCATCTCCTTCATCTCGCAACTCCGTCTACACAGTCACCTAATCTTGGCTACCATGATCCATCGGCATCAGATTCAGATGCCAATTTGTCAAAACGTGACGCCGCACGCGCGAACCGCAGCGGGTCCCTTTTCATGTCCCCATTCTCATGGCCCATGGAATCTGGAATTTCCAATACCTGGGAATATCACGAAAGAACTGACCAGCCAAGCCAAACATTTCAAGTCTCCATACCAAATCCCACCCCCAAAAGAAGCTTGGGATCGTCCCGCACCACATCTCGCAACAGCTCCGCCTCGAGGGATCATCGCTGTTGATCCTCTTCGGCTACTTCCAGCTGCTCGAGCTGAATTGGGCCCCAAGGTCCCGACTCTCCCACCCTTTTCCCTCCTGTGCCCCAAACCATCAGCCAGCCCACAGCATGCACCGTAACCCCCCAAGGAAGCCCCCAGCCAGAAGCTATTAGTTGGCAGAAACCCGCAAAGTCTCTCTTACCGCCGGGGGAGTCTGGGAGAGAGAGATGAGGTGTCATCAACCGCGACCCTCCTTGTAGATGGACCAGTGGCCCAAGCATCTCTGCGACAATCTCCCGTCATCAGACGGCTTCTGGCATTACCGGTGGGGGGTGTCCCCGGCACGTCCGGGTCATTCTCCCCAATTCCCCCCTACCGTCTCCTCACCATCCCAATCCCAAGGTTTGGTGTATTGTTTCCGTCTCTCACCTTTCCCAGTTGGATGGCAGCTTTTGAACGCTGGAGAATGGAGACGCCCAGAACCAGTTGCCAGAGGCTCTAGTGTATTGCAGATCTGCACTCCGTTTGTCGAACCCTCACCGAACTCTGTTCTCTATCTCGCCAGTACGGATACAAGCGGCGCCCGCTGCACCCTGCACAACTGCGCGCGACTCAGGGCCAGCCAGCGAGATACCTGTTTATGACAGTCGCAGAGCTAAGGACTGACCGCAGTTTGCAACGGATTAGGTACGAATACTGACACGATACGACAATGCACAAGTGGGTTATTTCCTTGTATCTCATCTTCCCCCACGATGCCGATGTTTCCCATCTCGCTTTCGCCGTCGCTTCTAGACTGTCTCACGAATACAACGCTACGACCCGACTGAGTACGGGAGTATGGCGGTGACCCTTCATTATCGCCGAAACTGCGCTTACCGCCAAGGATCATCAAAATCATCAATCTTATTAGCGATTTCACCTTGACTCCCTTTGGAAAGAAAGCAACGCAAGACTCTATGAATCTCAATTGTACGGATAAAGCCATTGGCCCTTTGCGTGCAACACCAGCAGAACTCAATCCTCGTAGTGGAATGGCGCCAACTTCTGCCACTCTTGGCACGGCACGACTTCCAAAGTTCCAAGACTCAGATCCAAATCTGTTTGCCAAAGTTCCATCTCAAGTTCCTCAAAGTTCCCTTTTCGCCAAGCACGATGCTCGTCAGTCGTTCCTTCTGTGCGGCGGCTGTGCCAGACACAAGAGGGAAGAAAATTGACATGACACCAAAAGTCCAAGCAAACGTCGGCATGGCATGGCACTCGCATGGCATGGCACTCGCATGGCCTGTCTCTCAACGCCTACTTGATATCTCAAATCAGTACCCACTGCCGAGTGGGCTGAAGTATCGTGTGTCTTGAACGGCTTCTGGCATGACACGGCCCATTTCGGTGAGATTCGAGAGAACTAAGAGAGGGGTAACACCATCAGTATCCTACCTTACCAAACTATCCATCCACCCAACCATTCACACGGGACGGGACAGATACACAAGATACACGGAGTAGTCCCTAGGAAAACTTGAATAGCCTACCGCCGCTAGGACTTCTGCTTTCCTGAACCGTCTGCCGTCATCCAATCCGGGACGGCATGAAGAGGCGCCTTGGCTTTAACTGCCCAGGGAGCAGATTCATGCCTTCTTTTCCTTAGTAGGCTGCGTCCGAGAGCGAACTGTCAATTGTGAGTTTCTGGAAAGTCTGTAGTCGTACCGTACAGCGTCTCTTTTGGATCGCCGAATGGGCATCCGTGCTCTACTCGGCCCCGAGCCGCATCGCATCGCATCACATCGCAGTGATACCACAACCACCCGCATCCGCATGGCGTAGCGTATCGGCGTGCCGCCTACTCACTCGCAGATGATACGGATACCACACACAGTGATACACACACAATATCTTTGCTGCGTGGTACTTTACCGCACTGCGGCGCAGCGCCGGCTTCTGATAGGAGCTGTGTTGGATTCCTTTGTTGTTGATCTGTGTCGCTTTTCTTTTCCACCCCGGGCGGTCGCGGCTGACTGGGTCATGTAAGTCGAGCCTGCGGGAGGAGTGCTGCCTGGTAGCCTGCCGCGATGTTTGGCCTCCTCCGATCACGCGCAGCACGGACGATGCTGTCGGTTCTGTGTGCTGCGGTCAGCATTTTACCTTGAGCGACCAATGAATTAGTCGTCGAGGGGGGACTTCGATGTGGCGGCAGCGGGCGGGGAAAAAGTACGCTGCGTGATCTGCGCGTGTTGGTCGTTGTCCAGACCGGCGACGGTATATCTGCGCGCGAGGGGCGGGCTTGTCGCCGATACCGCGACGGCAATGTGTTTTCCAGCGACAGAGAGATGCCTTCAAAGTGATTGACAGTGCGGCTTTGAGCTTGGATGATGTTGAGCCTCAATGACACGCCATGATAGTCGCCGCTCTTAGTTACGTCTTTACAGCCTGAGTGCGTGGAGCGTGCTACTGCTCGCCATGAAAAGGAGTCTCCCAGATGCCAACTGTAAAGCCACAATCCAAAGTCTTACCTATGGGAGTCTCCACTGCGATCTTAATGCCACTGGAGGCAATTTTGCGCCCTTACCGTCCTCATGCTTCGTCGGGATGGGCCTTCCTGTGGCGGCAAACCTAGGTATACTTTGACGTAAAGACCTGGAAAGTTTACTCGCTATTATCGAATCTAAATACGTGATGCTCATGTCGTCTATACTATCCAGTCTTTGCAACAAGATGACTGTTAGGCACCAAAGACGCTTGCACTCCATCAATTGAACACTCGGCTGTTCGTGTTACTCAGACCAAGGCCCCTAGGTATTGGTCTCCCGATTCCCGTGAGACTCGAGAGATTAGCTAGACGACCCACAGCAGCCGTGGACCTACAACTCGAGCTCTGTTGGCGAAATGAAAGCAACCATGTGATAACCATACTTCGTCCAGATAGCATCTGGCTTGTTGGTTCCGAAGACGGTGGATGTGAATATAGCGCCGGAAGGAGGCATAGTTCGCCAGCCTCGCCCGACGAATCATGATGGCTCCCCGAGGGAGGAGAGGCGGGGTCAACGACACAGCCTTTTCACTGCAGTTTTAACTCTTCTCAAGTGGGTTGTGTCCACCCTAGATGTATTGAAATTCCAACGATTCTATCTTGCATCACTACTTGTGACTAGGTTCTGGGGGTTGCCGCACCTTATGTTGGCAGAATCGTATTTGTGTATCGCCTCCAAAGGCTGAAGTCACCACGCGAACCCTGAAATGGAGCTATAAAATACAGGTGAGTACCCAGCTGGCTTTTCTCGTAAGCTCATTCTCAGGGTCTGGGCGGTCGATATGGCTTGAAGGAATTATGCTCCAGCTAGTGATGCAAGTTTTCAATAACGCATGCCAATTAATAGGAGACTGACACTGCAGTATATTCAATTGTGTGGACTGATAATCAAACTTACAGCATGAAATATAACACGATACTCTCTTGTAACAATTGCCCAACTTATTCTATAGAGATAAAACCGCAGCAATTGATATTTCATAGTCCTTGAGGTGGTTGTTACTGACGTCCAATAATAGCTTCACGGCACGTGACCGCCTTCGTTATCGGAGCATCCCCACCGGCAAAACACCGGCCATCTTATCTGGGCGGGTCCCTGCTGTAGATGACACCTGTGAGCTACGGAACCACGGTAGCCAATGCGCGGCGCGATTGTCAAAGCAGCTTCAAGGTGGCCACACGAGCAACGGGCACCTCACCACCACAACTTTCAACTTCTCTGCATGTGAGCGAACCTTCATTCACACGGCACGATGCGCCGTTTCAGTCTACTTTTGCTGGCCACGGCTCAGCTTTGCGGGGCTCGTCATCCTGGCTTTAGTATACACGATGACCTCGTGGCATATCCCCAGGTTCGTCCGATCCAAAGGAGTTCCATGGAAGCTCTGGCGGGCAAACTGACAATGAGCGCACCTACAGTACGAGATAGTCTTTTCGGAATCCTACATACTAGAACACGAAGCGCAGGCGTTACTGGACCGCACAAACCCGCATTCTGCCTACTCGGCCGAGTTCTCGACAGCTTCCGACGTCTCCCAGAACGTCAGAGAGGCCACCGACTCCGACAATGGCCGTTCCTCTGAGGTCTTTGAGCGATACGAGCTCATGAACACGGCTGACTTGAAGTACCTCTGCTCGATACCCATCTTGGAGCCCCAGACTCCCGAGAACCACACGGCGACGGAGCTCGCGAAGCAGGAAGAGGCACGCGAGCTGGCAAAGGCCTCGGCGCATGGCTGGGAGCTGCTGGACGAGCTGGATGGGAACTGTCTGTACTTCATGTCCGGCTGGTGGAGCTACAGCTTCTGCTACAACCGCGAGATAACCCAGTTCCACGCCCTCCCGACGGTCCCCAACGGGCAGCCGCCCGTCCGCGACCCCCACACAGCCGAGTACGTCCTCGGCAGGGTACAGAAGTCGCCTAGCCAGCGACAAGGCCAGGAGCAGCAACATCAGCAGACGACAAAGTCGGGAGACCCTCCCGCGAACACGGATCTGCAGATTAAGGGCGACCAGCGGTATCTCGTGCAAAAGATGGAAGGCGGCACCGTCTGCGACCTGACGGGCCGCGACCGGACAATCGAGGTGCAGTACCACTGTGTGCCGGGCATGAAGGGAGACCGCATCGGTTGGATCAAGGAGGTCACCACATGCGCCTACCTCATGGTCGTCAATACGCCGCGCCTGTGCGACGACGTCGCCTTCCTCCCGCCGAGGGCCACGAGCGCGAATCCAATTAGCTGCCAGCTCATCCTCCCCTCGGACGACCCCGCCGCTCAGGCCGAGTGGCATCGTCGGAAGACGTTGGAAGCCGCGGAATCTATGGTTGGCAAGCAGGAGGGCGCTGCCGCAACGGATGAGGAAGAGGCGGCAGAACTCCTGAAGCAGGCCCAGCAAGACCCTAACGTCAGAGACAAGGCCCAAAAGGGCGTCAACGTGGGCGGCGTCATTGTTGGTGCGCGAAACGTGCTCGGCGATGCGGACGAGGAGGGCAAGCCACCGACGAAGCTCTCGCCGCCGCGCAGCTACCTGCCTGGACGGGGCCACGGCCCGCTGGTAGAAATCATTGCCAGCGCAAAGAGCAAAGCCGAGGGCGGCGCGACGGAGATGCTCGACGACGATGAGCTCAAGAAGCTGGATCTGAGTCCCGAGCTCGTCGAGGAGATGCGGGCTGAGCTGGAGCGGATCGCTGGCGACAAGGGATGGAAGCTCGAGGTGGTGGAGCAGCCGGGTGCGCAGAGAGAGATCCAGGGCATTGTTGACCACGGCTCTGACGGCGAGGATGGCGAGGAGGCCAAGGGAAAGAGAAAGAAGAAGGTTGTGGAGGGGGAGAAGAAGACACAGCAAAAGGGTCAGAAGCAGGACAAGCAGGATCAACAGCAAGAGGGTAGCGAAGAGCAGTTCTTCAAGGAGGAGCTGTAGTGATGCCCTCCCCTGATTTGATGGCCTAGCATTGGCGTTTGGAATGTTTCTTGTATTGATATGCTGAATGATACAGAGGGCCGTACGTTGGCCCCCATGCTCTTGAGAGTCTCTTTAACTGCACACGTCTTTCTCTACAGCCCACTACTTGCCTCTGTAATTTCACAAATGCGGCGACAAATCAAGGTACCCTTTCAATTCCCTTTTTCGCTTGGTTCTCAGGAGTATTCAGTTGTGGGAGTTGCTCGGTTTTCAGAACCGTTCGGTCCTGAAACTCTTCAGTTTTCAGGCTGTTCGGCTTTGAGCCTTTCGGTTCTCAGAATATCCGGTTCTGGAAATGTTCAGCAGACTACTTCATGAAGGATCAAAACAATCTGCTTGCTCGGGCAGCAATCGGACTTGTCAGAAACTATATGATCGGTGGCATCAATTTGCAACATGGCATCACGCGGATTCAACCCGAGATGATAGTCATTCAACGGGCGTCGAGTACGAATAATTGACGAGGCGGGCGAATGTCGATTTCTTCTTTCGATCCAATGGCCACGTCGGACTTGGAAGCAATTCGATGTCACACCCGGACTCGGTATCCCGATCAACCCAACGGGATCCCGAAACGGCAATGTTTTGGACCACTTCTTATTCAGCTACACTCGACTGGGTCCACAATAGCTGGACTGTTATGATCTTCAGGGTCATGGTGTCGACTGCCGTCTCTCACGGATCTCAACGAGGTCTAATTTGATCGAGGTCTAGGCCATTATCTCGATGCTTTGTTGTTGTGAGGAACTGGCAAGGATGTTGGCAACGTCACTCCATATAGTTCGTATGAAGCAGCCTCGTGTGAGACAATACCTACCTGCATTAATTACTGGAGACCGACGAATGTAACGGTCAGATACATCTTGTTGAGCTGTTAAATGTTCTTTTCCACGATCAACCCTACAGAACACAAATGAACGAGCCAAACCCTCGGTGCCAACATCCATGACATTCGAACTCCGCTCTGTCCTCTCTGCGGGGACTAACGTTCTTGTCCTGTCTCGAGCAACGCCGAGACTTCTGCCCATAGCAATGCTTGGCTTTGCAGATAATCTGATTACTCGAGACCCCGCGGCTTCCATGGCATGGACGTCCGCGGTACGACGTGATTACATTCCCGCCGGACTACCACCGTGACCGGACTGGAGTTGTTCATTCGGAAAGTCACGTCCGGGACCTGCCGGGTTTCCTGGAGTTCATAGCCATTGCCGATCGAAAGCTCCTGTCTTGACTATTGATGTTGACAGAGGAAGGTGGGAGGTAGGTAGTAACGGAAGGTGCCCCTTTGCTGAGAAGGCACCATCCGATAATGGCAGGACGGGGCATCCCACTTGCCGGGCCGGAGGGCGGCAACGGCATCACCTCCTTCCGAGACGTGGGAGGAAGGCACCCCCGCCGAGGCGTGACCTGCCCTTTGCTCCGTCCAGAGGAAGGTACGCATACACGTGCTCACTACTTGCTCAGCCTGTCGGTGTGAGTGAGGTAGGCACTGGTAGCCGGACATCACATCGTCTCCTGCCGACGCCGTAAACGTTGACAAATAGTACATGGGCGTTGAGGCAGAATATCTGCGATCTGCACATCTCTGACTTTTCTCTCTTCATCCCCAATCTCGGTTCAAATTTCAGTCGTGATCCATCGCCATGGCTAGCCCGCCCCCCGTCGTAAACTCCCTCAGACTCCCTCAGCCCTCTTCCCCGGTATCCGGGACTGGCTCCGGCAAAGGCTACCATTCGAAGATTCTAAACCAACCCAACTCAACCCTGATGGAGAGTTTTCTTTGTTTTAATGAGGCAGAGAATCCGGAGGAGGCGGAGTTACATGGTAAGTGATTGGAACACGTATGCTTCCTTGGGCCTTAGCTCCTGTGTCCTTTCATCATCTACCTGCCTGGGCAGTCCAGGCTGTTAAGCTGTCTGTCGCAGATTAGACTTCTAATGATCATATCGCCAGTGCCCTGAGTACGAGGGGACCTGTGCAAGCTAGCAACGTCAAATGCCCACACTGCATACGACATGTCGTTTTCGCCTTGACCTCTCGTCGCCCGTCGCAGTGCCTGCCGCCCCCCGTGCACTACCTTACCGCTTGGCAGCCACTAAGTTCTCGATCCTTGGCGGGCAGGCAGTGCTTAGCGTCTTCGAGCTTCTCTCTATCAATCGCAGCTAGGGCCTATAGCAGACACGATACGACCCGACAACACAACTCAACTCGGAGAGAGAAAATATTCAGACTTTGAGGAGTCGACCCTGAAGTCTTGGCTTCGACTTCTGCCATCTAGTCTATTTGGGGCCCAGCCAAGATGTCACGTCTTAAGCTTCTCCGGGATCCTGAAATGAGTTTGGAATTGATAATTCAAGGGCATAACCATTCTGCTGGGACAGGTTCTTCGGCATCGTCGGTTCAGGGGCACACCGCACGCACATTGCACTACCAACTTCGCGGAGTCACACTTTCGGAGTCACCTACCGGCCATGATTGCAACATCAACTCAAAGTCGGCACTTGCAAGGCTCAGCAAAATGGGATCGGCATTTTCCCCCTGCGCCTGTCGTATACCCAGAAGTTTCACTAAACCACCCGACTGCCGATTCGCCATCATGTTTGGGTGCGGGCCGTGGGCTGCTGCTGCTGAGTCCTCATCAATTGAGTTGAATCGATGAGCGGGCCAGATATTGACGAAGCCCGTTGTTCTGACCTTGACCTACCTACCATCTCGGACATGGACTTCCATTCGGCGTCCGAAGCAATACTCGGATTTGTTGTTGTAGCCTTGTAGGACTCAACACAGCTTCGAGATACTATTGCTTGTCAGGGATGGCTTGCCATCATCATATGGTTTCGGGAGCCATGTGTATAAGCCACGGATGCGTCGTCCGAAGGTCGGGCTGTTCAATTGTTCAACCGACAAATTTATCCACTCGACCCAAGGCCCTGGCACGCCCCTCGAAATGCAACCTCTTGGTTAGGAGGGATATTGCAGACAAGGTGAATGTGGATGTGAGTGGAGGACACATTGGGCGGCAGCGCCCGTTGACAAAGTTTATGCTCCGATTGAGCTAGTCTAGGCGATATTGCCAGCTGGAAGAAGAGATTTCCGGCTGCCCATTGTTCATGACAACTTCGACTGGGCAGCAGCATAGAGAGTTCCAGCCAAGTGGATAGGACGACAAAGCGTCAATCCTACAACCTGCCCCTTGCAACTTGCAAGCAGAAACATCACGCCCTCGTTCCGGATCGGCTCGGGAGCACACCGACAACCCCTTTGACGGCGTACGTGTGTCGGTCGACCGGCGTTTTCGGCCGGCGTCCCTATCTCGACGTCCTCGACCAAGACTATGCGGACCAGTCAACGAAGCCGCATGCCAATTCCTCATGTTGGGCCCTGTTCATTAAGTCAGGCCAAGACCGTTCAGGAGATTCTCCCCGAGTCCGGTATCCACTTTTCTACGCTCAAGTCTCTCGGCGCCGTTGGAAGAGGAAACGCCAAGGACATCGCCGAGTCCATCATCGACACCAATGATCTTGTCGGCCTTGCTGGGAGCACGTACCAGCGGCCAGGACCCAGGACTATATTCCGTACTTGTTGAGAAAATCATCAAGTCGGTGCTTTGCCTCGCAGGGCGGATGAGGTCCGCGCGCGCCGCTCTTCACAAAGCTCCCGATCAACCGCAGGTAACCGTGAACCCGTTGGCGATATTACCTTCACAGCACCCATCGGGGACTCCGGGACTCGATATTGGTTTCGAAATAGACCCCAACTTCTTTGCAACGCTATGATACCAAGCTTTCGACACCACTGTCGTCCAAGACTGATTGACATTCGAGCTGGGCGATCCCTGCCTTGTCTTTACAGTTCGATGAGCCACCTCCGCATCATGTCAGGGGCCGTTGATATGGATGCCGCCGGCATCAGAGCAATTTCCCTGAATCGGATCGTTCTGGAATGTTCAGGACCCCGGAAACCCCTCATTTGAGCACGTACAAGATTTTGACAGCTGCAAATCGACAGGCATTGAGTCGTAGTAGACGGGGATAGATCGACGACCCTATATCGTCTACAAACCGCCTCAACCGCGCAAATTGCATCGAGTCGCTATGCATGCAAGGTATATGCGTACAGTGATGATCAGGAAGCCTGCCTGGGAAGTTCCGCATTCGACTCGAGTCTTGGACATCTGATGCAACGCGAACGCGCGCTTTTGCTTGCGGACCCCGGAGGCTCTGTCGATGGCCACGTACATTCCAACGGTGCAGCATGATGCGGCAATCCCAGACCAGACCATAACAAAGTCCCAGACATGCAGACATATCTGGACCATGAAGTGATTCAGAGGTCTCGGGGACTGGTTCCCGGAACGAGGTCGAAACGTGGCATGGCGAGCAGAGTTTGGGCACCCGAGGAGAGAATTAAGCATCTTGGGATCTCTGGAGTTCGAGTCGAGCTTGAGTCCCTGACGCTGGAGTCAACCCAGACGCAGCCCAGGACGCGGTTGCCCCGGGGCTCCCTGGCTCGCCGTCACGAACAAAGCTCGCACATGTGGTCCATAACGGCGGGGGTGGTGCCTGCGGTTAGCTCCGCTCGGCGGTACTCAGTGGAGGATTTTGATGGAGCTTGGCATGAGCGGGCGGATGCCGGGCACGTCTCCAGGAGCCAGACAAATGGCTCCGTTCGCAGAGGGGCCGGAATAGCGCCGCAAATCATTTTGATCCAAAATAGCTGCAGGTCCCTGGCAAACTTGGGACTGAAGAAGCTCAGGTTCAGCTGAAGCCCCAAACTAGAGAAGGGTTACCAACAAGGGGGCAACACGGACTCGAACGTCTTGGACTGACGACTTATTTGTTCCCTCGTTTCTTCTGGCCATTTGCCTTATTTTGAGCCGTTGCCTTGCCGTTCCGTCGTGCAGCTCATCCGAAGTTGATTGGCCTCGAACCCTTTTCCCCCGCACATCTCCAAGGTCATCCGTCGATTTGGTCCAAGGTCATCAACAGATCGATCTTTCTTCTCAACTTCTTCTTTCATCAGCTGACTCACAAGACGACCACCTCACGCGACCTTTGCCTCAGCTCTACCACCTTACTATTACTTACCTTAGTGCATAGTATACCTACCTCAGTACGGATACAGAAACGGCAGCGAACCCTCCTTTTGCTCGTAGCCGCCCCTCACTCATCCTTTCCCCCCTTCTCTCTCTCCGCTTCTCATTCGCCTCGAACTGTCGTTTCTTTTTCCCCGCATTTGCACAGGCAAGCCGCAAGCTGCACGCCGCACGCGCAACGAAAGACGAGACAGGAAGACAGACAGACACTGGACGTCCAGACAAGACTGGACAGAAACTGGACTGGGCAGGTCAGGACAAGACCGGCAGCCGATCCCGACGGTCTTCGAGCAGACATCGGACACGGAGTGAAAAACTTAAGCAGCAACCAACACCTTCATGCGCTAGCGACGATCAACAAGACAACCCCCCGACGCCATCCCACCAGCCAGCTACCGACACCTCGACTGATGAGGCGAGGACAGACGAGACGCTACCTCCGCTACGCTATTCGTACATACATTTCCTCCTCCGTACCCTACGTACCTCACCTCACAGCTAGGCCACACCTTACCGACCCTACCTTACCTTAGCTTCCTTCCCCTTCCCCTTCCCTTGCCGGTGAGGGGCTGAGGCGGCCGAGAGTGGACTGGAACTGGCTTTTTGACCGGGGGGAGGCTGGGCTGCAGCACTGTCCGAGTCGAGGCTTGTTGCTCCACGACAGTTCTGCTTCTGGCACTGCACTGCTTTTTTGCTGGGCTGCGACAAATCATCACTCCACCGCGAAATCTCTCGCTCAAACTCTTTAACGGCCGTCACCCCTGTGACAAGAGTCCTGAGCCTGTCTCTGCCATCTCCCTTCTCTCGACTGTTCCCTTATTCTTATTGCGTCATGTTTTGAGTGATGGACGACACAGATTCCGCGAGAAATGCTGCGAGCAGAGCAGGCTCTGCAGAAGTGAAGGCCGAGTCACCAGGAGCGACCACTGCCCCCGCCACTACCAAGAGCCAGCAGCAGCAACACCACCAACAACAATCAGCGCCGCCAAAGAGGACCGTATGCGATCACTGTCGAAGGAGAAGTATGCTGTTCCACTTCTCTCACGTTACTATTATCGTCGTATCTCAATTTGCATCCCCTGCCGTCCGCCCGTCGCATTCATGAACTTTCGTGCGATTCTTCCTCTTCCCAGCAGTCTGCCGCCCGGGCAGTCCATCTGTCGGCTTCATGGTACCACCATCCCGCCTTAGCTACTGCTGCTGATGCTGCTGCTGCTGACGTTGCTTGCTGCACGTCATCACCATCTTCACATCCATCATCAAGAACTGTTCATTTCATGTCCGCAACTCACGTCTCTTGCCACGTCTTTCATTCTTCTCGTTTCTCATACGATGGAGCTCATGAGAACTAACTGGCAATAGGAATCCGTTGCGATGGCAAGTTCCCTTGTGAGCAATGCGTGCACGCTTCACTCACCTGCAAGCGCGAACATGTCCCCAAGAAAAGAGGACCGAAGCGTGGCCATGGACGGGTCATAAATGAGTTACGCGCCCGGGAGTCGTCCCAAGGAAAGCAGCAACCAAAAGTCCAGAAACCTTTCAATGCAGAAACTGCGCTCGAGAGTCCTACAGAGTATGTGCGGCGTCGATTATCAGCAGCTTGCCCGCCGCTGAACCTAGACAGCGTCGACATTGGGATGAGCGGTAGCGACCTCGGCGAAGCGACATCTCAACATTCGTCCAACGCGTCCGCAGCATCGACCCCTCCGAGCTTTTGGGCCGCCGTCACCTCGAACCCAGGACATACCAATGTACCGGAGCCCAGAGGCATCTTCTCGAGCGATGAACTACGACCGAGAACGAGGAGCTATTTCCACATGATCCCCCAGCTGGTCGAGCTGTACTACGAGCACATTTACCCCATCATGCCTCTCATCTACATGCCGACCGTCCGCGAAACGATCAACCGACCCATGACGCCGAGCGAGAAGAACCTGATTTACGCCCTGTGCGCCTTGACGTCGATGCACATGTCTGGTAAAAGCATCGGCGCGCCTGGACCCACGTCTTGGGAAGTCGTCGGTCGCTTCTTCCTCGACGAGACCATTTCGACGAGGCAGACGTACGACTTCCTCGAGGATTTGTCCCTGTCCGCCGTGATTTCGTCGTTTTACCTGAGCACATCCTTCTTTGAAATCAACCAATCGCGCAAATCATGGTACTATCTCCGGGAAGCGTTGACCAACGCACAGGACCTAGGACTCCAGGACGATTCAACATACTACGGGCTGAGTCGCGAGGAAACGCTATGCCGACAGAGGGTCTTCTGGATTCTCTTCGTAACGGAAAGGTTAGTAACGACTGACCGCTGGGTCACGCCAACGTAAATTGCGAGGCCGCATCCGAGATACTAACGCAACTTGTGCTACATAGGTCTTTTGCGATTCTCCGCAACAAGCCAATTACGTTCAAAAGAACACCGTCGCTACCAACAACACGGCAACCCTACGAAGGCCCCGATATTCATGCCGGTTTTCTGCAGCTTGTTTCATCCTACACTCCTCTGGACGAATCGTTCGTGACGGCTTGGAATGAGGGGTCTGATCCCCGCGTCAGCGCAACAACGTTTTTGGCTTTGCAAAACCTTCTCTCCCTCCCTCCTGCGTTCCTCCGCCCACATGGGCGATCATCACCACCAACCCAGCCTCATGGGCAGCTAATGGGTTCCTATGGTTCAACGTCAGCCTCTAGAGATGCTGGGGCACCAGAGCCGACAGACATTCAGAAAGCCGATTTGCTCATCACACAACAATGGCTTCGACTGATCGTGTGGCAGTCGTCGATGAGGCAAGGCCTTCTGAGCTGGACCAACCCGGCCGACTCAGGAGGTGGGGTATCTTCGGGCAGCGGTGTCGGCGGTGGGAACAGCATGTGTTTTTCGTTCCCTCTGACAGTTGCACGTGATACGGCCTCGATCTTATCAAGCTTGCCTAGTAAAGCTGTTGAGGTTCACGGAATGGGTATCATGGAGAAGATCTTCGAAATCGGAACCTGGTGCGTTAACGTCTTGGGGGCATGCGAAAGTGTTGGCTTCTCGACCGCCATGGACTTTACGTCAGGCGATATGGGTGTTCTGGGCAGCGGTCGAAAGGGGGCGAGTCTAGACCCTATCGAGTTCTTTGTGCGTACACTGAGTGCGAGCGACAACTCCCGAAAACAGTTCGCAGAGAAGCTGCTCACCGCTGCCGGCGAGAACCCAGGAAGTATGAGAACACAACTCAGCCCCGCTATGTCCGGAATGAGTTCAGCCGCCGCGGCGATGATTGCCGCAGGTCAGGCGCACCACATGATGGAGCAAGGCTGGGGACAAGTTGGGCAACAAAGAGGGAGCGTTGTGGGCGAAGTCTTTGACGACAACGAAGAGAGCAACGGCAACAGCCAGCAGCAGCAGCAGCAGCAGCAGCAACAACAACAACAACAACGGCTCGACCTCGGAAGCAACTCAATGCACCATCCTTCTACCATACCAAGTATGGGGTTGGGAATCGACCTTGGGTCCGATCGCTTGACGGGTGGTATGGGTGGAGTCGACATGGACGCAAGCAGTGTCGATCTCATGAGCCCGTTAGGCCTGACTCGAAGCAACACCTCCGATATGGCAGCGATGGGCATGCCCGTATATGATACAGCCTGGAGCCCTAGCAGCGGTGGAACGGGGCCGCGCGAATACCCAGAACATAATTCTGGACCTTACACCAATCAACGTGAAGGGGCCCAAGGCTATCCCGATATGGGGAACGGAATAATGATGCATGATCGGATGGCAACCGGTACCGGCGGTCCCGTGGGAGGCCCCGTTGGTGGGGAGAATCCTGGTATGGACCCGCGGCAGCAGCAGCAGCAACATCAAGGGGATAATGGCGGTTATGACGGACGGAGACCGGAGGACAAGAACGGTGGATACCCAAATGGTGGCAGGGTCGGTCTATGGCTAGGGACATGAAAACTTGTCACCACGTTGTTTGATCTTGACGTTGGACGGACAGGTGGATGCTCTAGGCCAGAGTAGGTCGGATGTACTCATACTTCAACACTATTGGATAGGAAAAGGGAATAGGAATGGGCGGGCGTGAACTGGGAGCATCTGCACAAACGGAACTAGGAGTTTTACGTCGGCCACGGTTTATTGTCTACCAGCGGTTCTGGCGATACAGGTGTTCAAAGCTACCGTTTGCACGCTGGATGGCGTGTCGTAGCTTACCTGGGTGTTTAGTGACCCTGTTGGGTGGGTTCGGACTCGGCGGCATTCTACGCGTACATGTATATACCTCTGGTGGTGACATTGGATGAAATGTCTCCCCAATACACCTACTGTAATTGTGCTCACTCTCTTCTTAACTCATTGACCTGCGAGCGCCTCTCCGGGCAGTCCCGCATCCCGCTGTCAAAAGTAGGATGTCTCCGCGAGTGTGGAGAAGTGCCGGCCGACGTGGGCCCCGGGTATTTGGCAGCAGATTGAAGGGGTAAGCGGCAGGCTGCGGGCAAAGGCAACAGGGCTCGCTCGGGCTCGGTTGCAGAAGACTTGCAAGCAGTGTTACGGCGCAGTCTCTTGAGCCTGGACTATTTTGTTGTTCTCGAAGGATGCGAAACCTTGTCGAGATCTCCCCCCCAAGCATGAAATACGGATAGATAAGCTTTTTTTTATTGCGCTCGTCACGAGGGCAATAATTGCCGATCTGACCCCAATTGCTCAGTTTCGGGGGGCTTTGCTGTATTTGAAAGAGAGGACGGGAAATGCTTGTTACAACCTTCACACAGTAGTGTAATGTCCATCCTCCTTCTCCCCAGTGCCTCACCTGTCACGCCTGTGCGCATGCAGCATCGTTGAAAAGCTTGGGCACGCACTTCACTTGCCTAACGGGGTAATAAGATTGTCCACATTGCAAGTTTCTGAAGACGCGGGGGAGTAAAGGTATTCTGGATTCGAATTGTCTTGATTCACATTGATTTGTTTTGATTTGATGATGGCAACGTCGGCGGCAGATTTGGCTTCGATGCCACTGCAGCATAACGTCTGCGTCGCGACGGCGCGGTTGCGGCTGCGGCCCGTGGAGGCGGGTGATTTGCGTGCGATTCATCGGATGAGGTTGGATTCTGAGGTTATGCGGTACATGTATGGCATCACATATTCTTTTTTTTCTTCTTCTTTTTTCTCTTTTTGTCGTTTTCGATATATCCCCCCATCTCATCTCATCTCATCCCACCCCATCCCATCCAAATTCCCAAATTTAGGCTTTTTCTTTCGGGTCATTTCTGTGGCTTCTATATGGCTTCTAGATCGTTTGATCTGGCCCAAGATTAGGTCTGATCTGATCTGATGTTAATGCACTGATACCTGATATAGGCCCGGCGTCGAGACCGTGGTTGTGGCGGAGGAGAGTCGACGGAGTATCGAGAGGGTACGACTCATGATGAAGGAAGGGGGGTTCTCATTTGCTGTTATGCAGAGAAATCACCCGACAGATGGACAAACTAAGAAAACCGATAACGACACCGAAGCGAACGAGGTAACGGCGGAGGCAGCCGTGATTGGATTCATCGGCATCACGAGCCCGCCGCAGATATTCTACATTTTCCAACGAGCGTCTTGGGGGATGGGGTACGCCACTGAGGCGCTGCGGGCGTTTTTAGGGGCGTATTGGGCTCGACGAAGAGGTCCCCACGGGACGGACTGCGTGCCCGACGGCGGACGGAGATTGTTTTCGAGGCCGGAGGACAGCAGTGAGGTAGAAGGAGGAAGATGGTATGGAGAAGAGAAAGGAGAAGGGCTTGGGAACGTGCTGGAGGCGCATGTCCATGATGGAAACGTGGGCAGTGAAACGGTGCTGCGGAGGTGCGGGTTTGAGTTTGCGTGGGAGACGGTCACGTCTGCGCATGGACGGGATGATGTTAGGTGTATGGTGTATCGAATAGAGCGGCCGGAATGAGAGTCTGGTCAGTCACTCGTGTAGGACGTCGTCACGTAAGGAGGCCACTTGAGGAAATGATGGTAAGGATCAAATGCGTGGGAAGCAGGACGAGAGTGTCTCTGGGTCTCTCACTCTCTTTAATTCTTTTGTCTCTATGTTATTGTCGTGTCCAGGCGTCATGTATGCCTAGTAAACTCTTCCTCCTGACTTTCTAATACCGAAAACCCATCGTCTATACCGAAAACGCCGGCCACCAATGCCTCCAGATGTATGTATGTATCCCAGGTATACGAATCCCCGTATTTCCCCGTCGTAGACAGTTGTATAAGGGTATCAAAAGATATGTAGTGCTGCTGTAAACAAGCTCAGAATGTACCTCCCCGAAAAAGAAGACTGAGAAGTCAAGACAGAAGGCTGTGAACATGTGACGATCTAGAAACGTCCACCACGTCTTCCACCACCGCGGCCACCACCGCCGCCTCCACCACCTCCACGGCCGCCAGAGCCAGCGGGACGGCCTTCGCCACCACCGCCACCGCCGCCGCGGTGTCCGTGACGGCTCTTTGGAGCATCAGGAATAACAACTAAGCCTCTGGTTCCGCGGAGGCCCATCTTGCCAATGGTACTCTTCTGGATCGCGGGCGTCTCGGGGCAGGCAAGCGCGTCACGGGCAAAGGTGTTGCCCTCAGCGACGAGCTGATCCTTGTCCCACTTGAGGGGCTTCATCCAGTTCTTGTAGTAACCAAGCCAAGCCTGGTAGATCTTGGCCTTTTGAGCCTCGTCGATGCGCTGCTCCGCAATGTCGTACACTGCCTCAGCGGATGAGAGATCGGCGGGACGGGGTTGGAAAGTGATCTCCTTGAGGGTCCACTGCGGGAAGAAGCCCTCCACCTCGGCAACAATGAAGATGCCACGGCCCTCGGCACCGGCGCGGGCGGTACGGCCGAGACGGTGGATGTAGGACTCCTTATCGGCGGGAATGCCGACCTGGAAGACGGATGTAACTCCAGGGAAATCCATACCGCGGGCAATAACGTCTGTGGCAACGAGAATGCCGGACTTGGAGTCGCGGTAGTCGTTTGTCGTCTTTGTACGCTTGCTCTGGGAGATGCGGGAGTGCAGAACGGCGGTGGGCGGCATGCCGGGCACGTTGCTGAGGACGTCGCCGTAGAAGTCGGCAAGCGCAGCCGTCGGGGCGAAGATGATGGCCTTGAAAGTCTCGGGGCCGACGTGCGCAGCCTCCTCACGGATGGCACCGACCATGGCCGGCGCGACGGCAGCGAAGGTGGGCACTTTTATGAGGTGCTGGGGCACGCGCTCATGAGTGTTTGCCTCGCCGGCCGGGATGGTGGAAATGAACTTGTAGCCCTGGGAGAGGACGAGGCCGGCGACCTGCTCGACGTGGGAGGCGATGGTGGCGGAGAAGAGCATACCCTGGCGGTTGGTCTTTGTCTTGTCGGGAAGAGCGCGGACGATGTCCTTGAGGGCGGGCATGAAGCCCATATCGAGGAGGCGGTCGGCTTCGTCGAGGACGAGGGTGTCGAGGTGGCGAAAGGCGTCCTTGATATACTCGTTGGACATGTGATCGATAAGACGACCGGGGGTGGCAATGAGGATATCGCAGCCGTTGAGAATTTGCTTCTCCTCGCGGTCCTTGTTGGTGCCACCAATGGCGATGCATACGCGGTATTGCTTGAGGCGCTGGAGGAGAGCCTCGGCCTCCTTGGCGATCTGCATGGCAAGCTCGCGGGTCGGGGAGATGACGAGCAGAGAGATTCCGGCGCCGCGGCCGCGGTTGTTCGTGATGAGGGTCTGAATGGCGGGGAGGAGGAAGGCAATCGTCTTGCCCGTGCCGGTCTTCGCCTGGACGAGGCAATCGCCGCGCTTCGGAGGGAGGAGCTCGCCCAGGGTAGCGGCCTGAACGGGCATCATGTGGTCAAACTTGAGATCTTGGGTAATGGCCTGGACGAGAGACTGGTCAACGCCGACCATATCGGCGAATCTTGGTGTGTCTTGAGGGACAGGCTCGGTGAGAGGCGGCGCCGTTGCTTGGGCGGCTGCTGTTACTGATGCTACCGGGGCCGACGCGGGCTGGCCCAATCTGGGAGACTCGTTGTACGGCGCATCGCGGCGGTCGCGTCGGGGACCACGCTTCTGGTTCGAACCTCTTCCTCTGCGATCCATGATGTCGGATTTTGGGGAGCTCTTTAATTTCTGTCCTCAGACGGCGAAGATTCGTAGGTGCCGTTGTGAAGAGGGAGTGATGTTGATTGGAAATTTTCCTGGAACAAGCAGGGACCTGACGAAACTGCTCTCAGCTAAGCCTAGCGTATCTATGATAAGCAATTGTAGAAAGAGCGATAAGAGTTTAGGGGTCCTCTGCACCTGCTCTCACCGCCCGTCCCACTCTGCCCCTCCCCCGCTTAGATGGGCCCGCCGATGGAGTACGTACTGGCATCTTCACTGTCTTCAACCACACAGATCTGAAGATATAGTTAACTTGATTCAATATCCTAAAAACCTCTATCATATACTCATAATTATGTTTACTGACATACAGATGTCACTAGATGCCCCAGCGCCAAAGCTCCAACCACCGCGGCTCGTGAGGGTATCCCAGCCCAATGGAAGGTTCTAAGTTTTAAGCGCCATTCCTACACAAACAACACACGTGAGACCGCACTGATATGTCATGATACTTTCAAATACAAATAAAAGAAACCTTCCGAAGAACGCCTAGAGAGCAGTTTAAAAATCAAAACGCCGAGGTATGAATACTGAACTACTGGTGAAGCCGCTCCGAAAAGTCAATGGAAGGGCCGGATATGCGGAACTAACGCCGACCTATTGTCTTGTGTTCAAAAGGCAAAGTTATTCATGCATCCCGAGCCACCAACCCAGGATGGGAGAGCGTTGTGAGATCTCCGTTCTCTACAAAATCTTCAGTTTGGGTGGAATGATTTTCGATATCCATATGGGGCTTCTGCACGAGGATGCGGTGAGTTCTGGTCAAGACCAGCATCTGTACGCATTCCCCAGGAAGCTGCAGTCATAGGCGACCGCTGTTGGAGCTGATTATCATGCCTTGCAGGATCAGGGTTCGTACTATGCCGGGGAAGGGATATGCGAAGTGGAGAGACATGACCCTGGTTTTGATGGGTTTCGTACTGTGGCGCCGATAATTCTTGAGGATACAAGGATAGCGGGGAAGTGACTGAGGTCTCCTGAAACCTCCCGCTCGTTGGCGAGAACTGTTCTCCATAGTGACTCGCTTCTAAATTCCGGTGATTTGGTGATATCGGTGTGGAATCTCTATGGTGCGTGGGCTCTCTCTCTTGTGTTGGCTCGCGGCTCAAACCGATAGGCATGCTTTCGCTAACGGTGCTAGGGCTGGTCACCATCGTAAGAGCAGGCTCATAGACGATCGACTGTTGGCGATCAATGTCATCGCATAAGCTTCCCAGAAACATTTTATAGACATCTCCGTCAGCAGGTTCGGTGTCGATGAGATCACTGGTTTATTGTTAGTATGTGTATAATGGCCTTCATGGCCTGGATTTGTTCCTTACGGGCAACCATAATTAGTAAGGTCATCGTCAAGATGCCTGAGCCTCTCCTTTCCAATTTCGTTAGTACCGAATCTCACGAACTGGATGGTAATTGGCCGAATCTTTTCGATGTCTTCCTGGCCCTGATTATGCGGGCTGTTACGGAGCGGGAGATCCTTGTGAAGGTCTCGCAAGAGTTGGAACACTGCTTTGAGATGCTCATCAAGCGTGTTCGGAATATGCATGCCGTTCCAGACCCCATCGGTCAAAACAATGATGGTCTTCTTCTTTGGACGCCTCCTGGAAATCATTGCTCTAGAATAATCGTTGATGATCCGGGCAAGCTCTGGGACGATCATCGTCTCCACCGACATTTTGTCATTGGATGATGGCTTGGCGAGTTTCATTGCATCTGTAAAGGTTTCTACCTCTTGTTTTGGTGACTCTCTGATGTGCGCTGCGGGATTCGTGTCGGGATTGGTGAAGCATAACTCCATTCCGTTTTCATCATAGCCCAAGGACCGCCAGACCAGTCCTCCCAAGATGAAAGTTGCTTGATCCCAGTGCTCTCTCATGGAAGTACCGTTGTCAACCAGGTATACCTAGAGATTGTCAGCATTTGCTTCGCACAGTATGTATGTTTCTCGACTGGACTCACAATGTCCCTGTTCTCGAACTCCTTTTCCAGTCGTTCATTCAGGTGCTCTGTAAGACTAGCAGTCTTCCATGCTGCTTTTCCTTTCACAGACATCTTTTTCTTCCGTCCAAATGATCCGAATTTGACGAGGCTACGACTTCTACCATGGCCATGCTCTTCAAGGACGCCCATGACCTTCCACATGGTTACAGGAGCCCTAGGAATTGTTGTTTGAATTGTGTCATGGCCGACCACTGATTGCATATGCGAGTTTTGCCCCCCGAAACTTACTGCATGATATGCATGGCTGCCATGAGTGACTGAATTGTTTTGTATCCAAGAAGCTTGATCAGAAGTCACATCTAGGGTCAGAGCCGGTAGCTTAGGTGGACTGTCCCTTGCGGATCTATGAGCTGTTGGTCGGATGCCTTGGTCGAGAAGTTCTTTCTGGCTCTTGAAGTCGGGCTCCGTTGAATCTTGGGCGTTCCTTGATGCTGGCCGTTTTGGTACCATATTCGAATCAAGTCGTTTGATGCCAGAGTGCTGCTCATAGTCAAGCTCTACCTCGAGTTCGATGTCTTGGAGCAGATCTTCAATCCTGCTCGGAACCTCTCGAGTGGGAACAAGAGACTGCTCCAATCGTTTCTTAAACCAGTCGCGGACTTGTACGGCCGTGAATCTTTGGTCAGGGGCTGCGACTAGCATGTATTGGTCCACCATATCCAATACGTCAGTAGTATATGCATCAGTCTTTCTTGCAACCGCGCGAAGGTATCTATGCCATTCCGTCACTTCGGAAAGGACCTTGTCGTCGTGGTGAAAGGTATCGCTCACATCTCCAGTCTTCTCAAGGATACCGGCTCTGCGAATTCTGTCGTAGATCAAGACGCCCTGAGGTCCTAATACGACGTAGGTGGCTGCGATGGAGAACACGCAACCCAGTGACCATACATCGCTTGTCTGTGTTATCAAAGGCTCTTGTAGACTCCTGCCATCGAGATACGCCGCTTTCTCCGGTGCACCTGTGGTATTAATGTTAACCAAAACGGGACGCCTTTTTAGCCAACTTGAATGAAGACATCTGTATTACTGACCATAAGTTCTTGTACCCCCAGTCACTCTGGCCGATTGTCGCCGATTTTCGCCATTGGATAATTGGATATAGGCTTCTCCTGGGTCTGCTAACTTATACCGGCTGTCGACACGAAGTATGTTCTCAGGTTTAATGTCTGCGTGCCACCTGTTTGCGCCGTCAGCTTCCCACTGTATCAAAGTTGCCTTCCCAGTTATCTTAGGCAGGCGAGCTTACGTATAATAGTTTACACCGCCCAGCTTTAGTTTGTAAATAGAGGCGAGTGCTTCCGATATTCCAGACATTGCGGTCCAAAACCCTAAGATCTCCTTTGGGGATACGGGAGGCTCCAGGGTGCGGATGGCAGTGTAAAGATCCGAATCTCCGAGTTCCAGAATGATGTAATGATACTCTCGTTGTGCTCCTTCGTTATCAGTCTCGAGGCTCTGGTACCACCCGATGTATGAAATCATGCCGTCTTTGTCCCTCAGGTGGTCGAACATGCGGGCCTCGTTGTGGAAGTAGTCGATCTTGTCAAACTCAAACTGTTTGAGAGCGAACCTATATCTCTGTACATCTTGTTGTCAGAATCTCGCATCCTCTTGATAGCCCATCGTGACTTGACTTACGAAACCTGGAGAACGATCTCCTTGTCGTTTGAATTTCGCCGATGCCATCTTCTTCTGCAACTTCATACCAACCATCTCTTCGGGCACTTCAATCGAATATAATGACGCGGTATTCTTTCGAGGCCCACGACCATCCCGGTGGGGCTTTATCTCGGTTTTCTCTAGAATACGCATGATTCTATCCCAATATTTTTCTCTCATGCCCAGCTCAAATTGTACCGGGCACCACGCTAATTGGGCCTTGTAGAACTTGCCCAAGAAGTCATCGTTATGTCGCTCACGTATCTTGTCCTTCAAGGTCGTCATGTCGATTGGTAGCTTATTGTCGCTAAGACCATTTTCGCGAAACAGGTCGATTTGTGAGGGGGCGCCAATGTCAATCAGGATGTAGAAAACGCAGTGGTAACCTTTCAGATCCTCTAAGCGCATAGTTGGTGGTTGCATCGAATTGCGACGAAGCGAATGAAGTTGGCACAACCTGTCAAGATCGTTTTTGAACCGAGAGTGGCAAGAGGGCGAGCTCTCCTCCAGGCGACGGGTAACATTCCCAACGATGATAAACTCTCCGCCGCATTTGGAGAGTCTCCTTTCATCTTCTCTGATGACCCTGAACTCTTCGAAAGCTGTCTTGTACTCGGAATGGTAGTTGAAGTGCGTAGCGGCGCTCATAGTGTGAAGACAGGGTTTCTGTCACTGCCCATTGGCGGGAGACCGGAAGACTGTAGGCGATATCTCTCTGACACAGTTCGCAGGTGTAACGCCCTGAGGCAAAAATCGCACAAAGGAGGACTTCAACGTTTTGCGGGGGTTCCTCAAGATCGCTTCGTCACGTCGTCAAGCCCGAATACGGAGTTGATGTTGGAAGCGAGAACGAGCAGGCTCGAGCAGCATAAGCAGACACGCCGCCCGAGTGCGAGGAGACCGACCCAAAAGTAGCAGATGAGGAGGGAACCAACAAGAGAGCGAGCCAACAGACATCCTTGAGATTTGGTGCAGTTTCCTCCTGCAAGTGATGGGCGCTTGCTCGACCCCCAAAACTGCGGCTGACTGGGCGGCTGACCTGCATCGAGAACGGGGGTTCAGTTGCTGGCTTCCAATGATCTGCATCTACCATCCCGTCATGATTCGAGTCGCGTCTCTCCAGCAAGTGATCCATAGACCGCGAACGAGACGAAGTTATTATATTTGCTGATTCAGAATGGGGAATTGAAGCAGAGCCATCAAAGATAAAAAGACCAGCAACGCAAACCTTCTCCCCCTCTTGATTCCCGGATATTGTGACATGGTCTCATGTATCCGTACATGCAAGAAGTGAGGGGTAAGCCATTGCCTGCCTACGAATGGGTGTGATCAACCCTGGCCTGGCCCATAATGTGGCCTTCGATTCTCCCAAGGGAGGTGCATATGTCTTATGTTATGTATGACAAGGCTCTCACTCTCAACCACCTTCGGGAGACCAGCAGCAGTCTCGGTGTGCACAGCGTTGAGGGCCCATTCCGGGTTTCTCACACCGCATGAATCACGATGAATGGGTAGGTAGGTTCTCATACACAGGGAAGAGAGCTGAAGCGCTCGTCGAGGACGTCTCAGCCACTGGCTGTGATCAGAGGCATGGGCCTTCCGCCTTCTCCCAAATGTTCGGCAACCAGGTCTTCGTTTAGACGCAGTCGAAGACTTGAGAAGTATCAACAAAAAGTCAGCGCGCGATGTTTCATCAAACAAATGGCAAGAAAAAGCTCGGACTTCTGTGAATCAAGGTGTTGAATTCGCTTAACTTGTGTTGGGAAGAATAGCCACGGGTAGTTCGCGCACCAGGCTTCACGACGCCTTATTGAAACAGGCCTGGCTGCCTGCAAGGCAAGTTGCCACATAAAACACCACCGAATCCTCGGCATTCCACCCCGCAACTCCTATAAGGCTTTCTCACGGTCTTCATTATCAAAGTGAGCCTTGGGTATCGGTCGTTCTTTGCCCCCGCAAGTTCAGAGTCTGCCACCGAGACACCGAAAGTTTCCTGCACGTCGCGCCGACATCAGCTCTGTCACGGCATTTCAAATCCACAAATTAGGACGTAATATGATACCAGGCTTGCACAAAAAATTTACTTGGGGTCCTTCAAGGACGAACACGAATGATGGAGCCCAACAAGGCAGCGCAAGTTCGGCAAACCCCCAGCAGCTCCAAAGATCTCAGACAATGCCGAAACCTCCCAGCGGCTGGGTCCCGGAGCAAGTGGTGGCGTACAACTTGAGGTGGGACAAGCTACGAGAATGGCTGATGAAGCGATTCGAAAACGACATCGACATCAGCGCGAGAGGTGGTGGCTTTAGCGAGAAAAAGGTTCGTTTAGAAGTCTAGCTTGATGCGTATTTCTGTACTGACCAGATATTAAGCATTTGAAAGGCGATCGCTATTATTTCCATACGCCTCAGCACCTTACAAGGGTTAGTGAACTCTCTGGTTCATTGCGATGCGTTGTGATGGCAAGTCTTGTTGCGTAGCAATTCTGACGTCGAGTAGGAAGATATGGATGCCATCGATGGCCTCCGAGAGAGGAACCCAAACGACGTGATGAGACAGGAGCAACGCCTGAGATATTCTCCTGACCCGGAGGAACAGACAACTGATAATCACGAATGGGAATCAGACTAATGATACAACTTAATACCCACGACAGACCAATTTCACAGTGTGACTGCTCTGATAAGTGAGTCAATATGACCGCGATAAACCATGCCCATCCTTGATGATCAGGAGTCGCAAGCGGATGGCAGTAGTACGATGCTCAACGGATACTTGACCCCCATTCTTTTACTATTAATCATCATTGGTTGTTAATTGTCGTGCAAAATTCCTTCAGGTACAGCATACTATTCGGGGAATACTTGGATAGCGAGCGCCAAGAAAAAGAAGTGACATTGCTAGGAGTCTGATGGTGGTAAGGTATCACATGGGTTTTAAAGCAGAAATTAAGATGGTATTTGAGCCGGCAAAGAACGCTCAATTGTCAACGACCTCGCTTAACAGCCTGCCCACCTTGTATGACGGCGTTCATGCTGACGGGCGCTGGCTTCCTGCTCTTATTGGCATGCTGTGCCCCTCCCTTTCAGCCGCAGTCGCGCTCGTTGTCGGAGGGTCAGTTGATCAAGTTTTACTTGCGACTATTACCGGGCGCTCTACCTACCTAAACTTACTAAGGGCTGCTTCTACGGTGCGACTTGGCAAAGTACGCAGCCACGTACAGTGTCTTGTATGGTGTAATGGGCCACAGCGAATGATGCCTCGCAAAGAGCCTTGAGGGGGCGGTACGGCTGGGCGTTTCCACATGACTCTGTTTTCTCTTCGCCCCCTTCCTACCTAAAATTTGATCAAATATACTGAACAGCCGGCTCATGCCACTCTCATACCACACTGCCGATGGATGAAAGCCAAATTAATCCATACTACTCCTTCTTTGCCATTGTATCATACCGTAAGCCGCCTGTCGGATCAGTTGACTGGCGTCTAAGATGCCCAACCCGACTCAAGTACCGCATGAATTCGAGAGATCCTACTTAGGATCGGACAACTACCCACTCAATCATGTGTCAGCCAGTTCGTACGGAGGAGCCAATCTGTCGGAGCAAAGGAGGAGGCTCATTAATCGAGGGAGAACTCTCTTCGTCCGCAATGAAAAGGCCAAAATTCCCATTCGCGACATAACGGGAGCCGGCAAAGTCAGGAAAGACAACGTGTTGAACGACGATCACCTGAAAGAGCTCTTGGGTGATATGACTATAGCCAGTCCAGGCCCGCAGGGACCAATGCAGCCCTCAGCATCTAGAGTGTTGGCGTTTCAGAAAGACGTAAAATGCCGTTTCGCGTAAGTCTTTCGATACCATGTGGTGTATTACGTAGGGAGACTACAAAGACTCATGTGCTCATGAACAGATTCCTCGTCGCCGAAAACGCTCTGGCACCTTTGGAAGCGCGGCCAAAGATGCTGATGCGTCTTTTGACATTCTACCAAGTGATGCCACAATTTCTAGACTTTCTCTACGTGTATGGGTCACCTCATGGCGAAGATAAGAATCTCCGCTTCAGTGGCTTCAGAACCGAGAAGGTTCTCATAAATCCTGTGCCAGGGACATGCATTCCAGACATGGGCCGCAGTGGCAGGAGATTTCAACTTTGCTACAATCTTAAAACGGTAGGGCTCAAGTTTGAGCAACCAGGTCAGGAGGTTGATAAGATCTGGAAAATCAGGCAAGCGGCCATTCACCATCAATTCGACATTGGATCCGGCGTTCAGACATGGATTATTGGAGATCCGCACGCAGCCGTCAAAGGCCGTGTCCAGGAGCTTTTCCACGAGAGTCGGGAACATTCCGCCAAGTTCGGGACAGTAGAGCAGTCTCTACTCTCATCTCTAGAGGTACATCTTGCTCTGGCCAGATGGGCAACATCAGAATGGAGATGGAATGTGCAGTCACTTGAAGAAATCATTGACAATTTGGTAAGCATTGGCTACAATAATCCGTTTTGAATGGTTTTAACCGAGATTGTTCCAGACTCTCAAGATCGTTTACATACAAAAGTCTGACTTGGAGACACTTGACTCTGAATCTCTGGGAAACGTCCAAGAGTGGGAAGACAAAACCAACGAGACCATCATGGTAATGGGGTCGAATGCCGATATATTAACGTTGCTGAGGAAATTCTACAAAGAACTCGTCGAAGATCAGAATTTCCCGAGCGGTGAGCTCAAAGCTTGCAAACAAGCTGTGAAGGATTTCGCGTTTCAACTCGACGAGATCATATATGACACCCAAATGCAAATCTCTAGGGCCAAGGTTCTAGTTAAGATAGTGGCAGACAGAAAGGCAATTGTACGTGGCTCGATACATGTGCTCAAGACATGGCTCCGCAAAGTATTTCTTGGACTAATAACATCTTCTGTCATATCAGCTCATTCAACACCTTCAGACGCAGGCTGCCTTGGTTGCATCGAAGCTCACAGCAAGCATGTACGACCAAGCCGATCGTAGTGCCATGGAAGCAGTTGCCATGCGTATCGTGACAGTCGTCACGCTTATCTACCTTCCAGCAACATTTTCAAGTGTAAGATACCACTCTATCAGCTGGTTCAATCATCTACATGAACAAGGTTTCTAACGAGCATTCCAGACCTTCTTCAGCACCGATGTTGTAAAATACGAAGATGGAGTCAAGTTCTCTAAGGTTGCGTTTGAAAGATTCCTTCAGGTTACCATCCCTTTGATGGTGATTACTTTTCTTCTTGCAGGGGGTTGGTTCTGGTGGGAATGGCAAAAAAGATCACGAAGCTCCATGGCAACCAGGAATGCGAACCCAAGCGTCTTCCCACTACATGAACTTGTGTCTCAAAAGGGACTCCTATGATATAGCTAGCTCATCGATCGTTCCAGGCTGAACTTATTGAATTCATCTGCGCGCAGAGATTGACAGTTTCATCATGTTCTGTCCACCCAAATAGCGCCTTTTCTTTTTTCTTTCTTTTCTTTTTTACCCGTTATGTTACTTGCCTAGTAAAAAGTACTTTGGACATCGAATTCCACAAGGGGGGCTCAATCGTTATATTTCATACACAGTCTACAATTTGACCAATTGACACTTGAATGAAAACAATCTTTGAAATGAACTAACCGCCAATTCCTTTCTATGAGGCACGATGTATCTTTACCAGCGATATTTCAAAATTCCGTAAAATTATCCGTCATTGATTCCAGGAAGCAAGTCTTCCTTTTTGGAAGAGATATCAACTTCGAAGCCAGATTCTAGACTACACGCTCATCTAGAGTTCTTAGTTTAAAATTGCCTTCAACATGTCACATTCAGTTCAGTATTTGGGACACTCAAGGTTCTTCCAGTCGTTGGATTCAAGCTATCTCATCAATGCTACGCCGATGGGCTTTTCATCAACACATAATGCCTCCCAAGTTCCGAGACTTTCTCTCTATGAATCAATGAACAGGTGGAAATCAAAACAAACAACCGATAAAAGGCCCTTCCCTTATGCCTTGAAGAAGTCGGTCACAGCCTTGGTGAACTGGTCAGGGTCCTGCATGGGCGCAAAGTGGCTGACACCAGTGAGAATGGTAACCTTGCTGCCGGGGATAGCCTTGTTCAAGATGCCGGGGACATCGCGGTTGACAGCCTCCTCGTGCTCGGCGCCGGCAATCATGACCTTGGCACCAGGAATGCTCTTAAGCTGAGCATCGGTGAACTGCGGCAGAGTACCCTCCATGGTGGCAACCTTGGTCGCGAACTCGGTGAAGTTGGCTCCGGGCTGGAGGGTGCCGTACTCGGTCCTGCAGCGAGCGACCAGAGTAGAGAAGATGGCAGTGTCGCTGAAGGTAGCGTTGGTCTGGTCAGGCTTGGCCGAGGCGCCGAAAATGAAGGCCTTGTTGATGGGCTTGGCCGTGACGGAGTTGATGAGCGCCGCGAGAGTGGTGATGCCACCATCAGACCAGCCGACGACGTTGTACGAGGACACGCCGGCGCCGGCGAGGAGGTCGTGGATGTCGAGCGCCATCTGGTCGTAGGTGAAGACGTCGTCCTTGTTGTACGTCGTGCGGCCGTGGCCGCGGCGGTCGACGGCGATGACGTAGTGGCCCGCGGAGACGAGGCGGGAGATGACGGAGCCAAAGTAGGCAGAGTAGCCGAGGCCGCCGTGGTCCATGACGATGGGGACGCCGCCGGCCGCCTTGTTGTACTCCTGGAACCACATCTGGATGCCGTTGATGGCCGTCTTGGCCGTGGAGATGGGGGTGGGGAGGTTCGGGGTCGCGGGGAGGGTCTGCCAGATGGGGGTCTGGCGGACGGCTAGGCCGGAGACGGAGCCGGCGACGGCGACGGCGGCCATGAGGGCGTTGTTGAAGTGCATTTTGGCGGTTTGTTTTGTTAAATCACAAAGAAAGAATGTGGTGACTGGTTAAGAAAAAAGAATGTGTGGGAAAAACAAACACGAAAGAGTGAGAGAGACTCAGTGAGAGACGATGCGATTTGGGAAATCCAAAAGCGAAGCGATTGATGAGGGTGAGGGAGAAAAAAAAGAAGAATTCTAGAAGCAGCTGAGGAACCATCGTGTAATTAAATATACAGTCGCCATTTGACTTCCTTCATCTCCCCTAGCTACGGATACCTAGTCGTCTTCTTTTCCCCCGCTTGGCGAACCGAAAGGCTGGAATTGAGTTAATTGCAATTCATCCAGTCGTGGCGGAGCAATACGTCTGAAAATAGGAGGCGTGCTGGCGTGGTGCCGGGATCACGACTCACGCAAGTTCGCAAACCCCGGTTTAGAGTTTTTCGCACTTTTCGCCCTCCCCGTAGCCCGCGCCCACAATCGGTGGCCTTTTCGGCCGGCCGTGCCGGGGGAGGGAGAGCCTCATCAAGACATTTCCTACCCAGGGGGCCGCGCGCGGCAAGCGAAAACGAAGAAAAACCTAAAAGTCCATAGTATACGGAGTTGTATACTATCGTGAGATGGCCAGGTGACTAGGTCGGCTAAGCGGCAGCTATCAAATGAACACGGATGGCTCCGTAGAAGGTGTCAAAATGCCACGATCCGCACGCAGGCTCACGAAGGCAAATGGGGGCCATCCAACTCGTTAATCCCCCCCGTGAGGGAGTTCGGACAAAACGGACTGTTCCAGCTGTAAGGCCCCTCGTACGCATACAGCACTCGGGAGGACCCGACTGGTTCATCACTTTGACACATGGGATGGCAGGGGTGTCCTGCACAGATCACGTCTGGAGTTGATGGGGGGCGATGGCTATACCGCAATGCGTTATTCAAGTCAGTCCACTCAGACTCTCACGAGCCTCAATGTCGTATTCTTCAAGCCTTATGGGGCCTCAAGACTAAAGCCTCGAGCCGATACAACCGTCTCTTGCTCAGCCAAGCCCCGATTTCGTAGATACTCTGCAAGCATGAGACCTGACTTAATCATCATCACAATCGCAAGCTTTCTGGAGTCCGAGACCGAAGTCGACAGTTTTTTGGACTCATGGGGACTCATGGATTGTGGCCATTTCTTCTCAAACGTACTCTAAGCCCGAGCCACGACAGGGACAATAGAAGCTTTTATAGTATGGTACCGGACAAACAACAACCAGAAAACAAGATGCAGAAAAACTACCAACTCCTTACTGATGAATCCCCTGCGCCGGGCCATGCTCAACAATCTTCCCCTTGTCCAAGCGGATAAAGTAGTTTGCATCCTGAACAGCCTCAAGCCGGTGCGCAATCGTAATGACGGTGCTCGTAGTCAACTCGTTCCTCAGCACCTCCTGCACCCTAGCCGCCGTCTCCTTATCAATCGACGCGGTAGCCTCGTCCAACACCACAATAGGACTCCTACGGAGGACGGCCCGGCCGATCCCGATGAGCTGCCGCTGTCCCTGGCTCAGGTTCTTCCCGCCGCCCTCGACGTGGGAGTACAGGTCCCACCCGGCGCCGAGGACCCGGTGGAGGACGACGACGCACTCGGTATCGGTGTACTGGTGCAGCGGGTCGAGGTTGTCCCGCAGCGTTCCGGGGAAGAGCACAGGATCTTGCGCGACGAAGCTGACGCGCTGCCGCCATACGTGGACGTCCACGTCTGACAGCTTGTAGTTTCCGACGCGGATGGCGCCTTCGGAAGGGTGAATGGTCGCGAGGAGGGCGAGGGCTAGGGTGGACTTACCAGACCCCGTCCTGCCGAGCACCGCGCACGTGGAACCCCCGGGAATGGTGAAGGAGGCTTCCGAGATCGAAGGGTCCAGGTGAGGTGCGTACCTCAAAGTGACGTTATCGAAGATGACGTCGTCCGAGTGGTGAGGCCAACTGGTGGGCGGCGTCAGTTCGCCGCAAGGCTCCTCGGGAATATCCAGAAGCTCAATCACACGCTCGACTGATACAAAGTCCATCTGCAGGGTGCCGTATTGCTTGCAGAGGTTATGAGTTGCCTCGACAAATGCGGATGCAGTCGTCAAGACGAAGGCGGTCAAACCGGGCGAGAGGCCCTTGTACAGCGCGAGCAGAGTGAGCGCAAAGGTACAGATGGCGGAGAGGGCATCGAATCTGTACATGAGCCAGGCTTGAAGACTCCAGTAGAAGTGATCCATCTTCTGGAAGGCATCCGTGACGACAATGTTCATGTTCTGGAAGTGGTGCTGGGCCTTGAAGGCGCGGATGGTTGCCAGCCCGTCGAGCAAGATACCAAAGTTAGACATGAGAGGGCTGAGGGAGACCATTTCGAGCCTTCGTAGACTCTGAGAAGTGGGCAGGAATCGCATAAAGATGTAGACGAACCAGAGCGTCATACCAACCGAGAAGAGGAGGAAGAGTGGTGTGACGGAGGCGATGACGACCATGCTTGAGAACCAAGTGATGGACTGAACAGCAACTTCGCGTAGCGGTCTCATGATGCCGCCGTCGATCATTCCAATGTCAGAGACGAGGCGGTTCATCAAGCGCCCCACTGGAGTAACGTCGTAGAAGCGGAAAGTTGCACGGCCGACTTTGTTGATGACCCTCTTGAAGAGATCCCTTGCCGCGGTAATGATCATGAGCAAGGTCAGTCCTTCAGACAACGTGTAAATCACAGCCTGAGTAACCGCGATTCCAAGATACACCCACAGCCAGGGCCTCAGATCGGTGTCTGGATCCGGGAGCCCAGCAAAAAGCTTGGAAAAGTCAATGCCGTCGGACGCTCCCTTTGTCGATATCTCGTGCTTGTACGCTTCACCCCAAGCTTTGAGGAACCAGTAGTTGAGCAGACTGCCCAGTCTGAACAATGCAAAGACCAACACCAACACAGCCCACCACTTGAGCTTGCCAGCCTTGATATAGGTCCAGTAAACCGACAACATGACGCCGCCGTGGGCGCGGTGCTCCTCTTCGATAAACTTGGACGGTATGGCGGCGTCTTGCTGAGTTTCGTCGAGGGTGTGCTCATGCTCGTCCTGGTGAGCAGCCGGATCCTCGTCTTCCAGGAGAAACTTGGCGACTTCTGCCGATGCCTCCTCCGAGTTCAAGACACGAGCGGTGCCGTCGACCACTTCGACCATCTGGCCAGCGAGATGAAGACACAAGTCTACTCTGTGAGTGACAAGCACCACGGTCCGGCCTTCCACCAGCGGGCCTTGGAGGAGCTTCTTTACGATGGATTCAGCCGTGTTATGGTCCAGAGCAGCGAGAGGGTCGTCCAGCAACAGCACGCGAGACCGGCTGTACACAGCACGGGCCAGTGCAACCCGCGCCCTTTGTCCGCCCGACAGACCGATTCCGTTCTCGCCCATGTCGGACAGGTCTCCATGTTTGAATGTGGCCAAGTCGGGAAGCAGGGCACACGCATCAAGAGTCTGGGTATATCTCGCGGAGTCAAAGGGTGCTGAAAAAAGGATGTTGTCGCGGATGCTCATGTGTTGGAGCCAAGGGCTTTGAGCGCAGTACCCAATGGGCTCAGTTGGGATGACCACATCGCCTATTTGCCGGTCGAGTTCTCCGAGAATCGCCTGCAGTAATGCGGTCTTGCCAGAGCCGACTTTGCCAAATATGACCGTAAGGCCCTGCGGGAAGCTGATATCGAGATTTCTAAGCACGGGTTGCTCGTATCCAGGCCATGCAAATGTTGCCTTTGTGAACTTGATATCGTTTGTGAGGTGGTCCGAGAACACGCCATCCTTGTCCGGCTCGCTCATGAACTCCTCGATACGGCCCATGGCGATAGATGCATTGAGAACAACTGTGATGAGCCCCGGCAGCTCCTTGAAGCTAGTCTCTAGAAGAGTGAAGAGGGATAGAGCGGGAAAGGCCACATCAACGGAGAGAGTCTTTCCGGCAATGAACGTATAGGCGAAGAAGGTCGCAACCGGGAAAAGTGTGCCAGAGGTGATGTTAAGTGTGGAAATCGCGATACTCCACAATCCAGTCACGACTCTCGTCCTCAGTTCATGTCGTCGAGTGACCATGATAGCGTCCAACCACTTTGACTGCCAGTCGTACCATCGCAAGTGCCTTATTCCTTCGACAAATTGGGACGTCGACTGCAACCGAGCATCAGTGGCAGCCCTGCGCACGCGCTCCCTCTTGAGAAGCTGGGTGATGAAGACGGTGTTAAGCATTTGAGCAAGCAAGACGCAGAGCATGCCAAACATGCACGACCAGCCAAGGAGCTGCCAGACGAGGAAGAAGGAGAAGATGAACTGGAGCGGTTTCACGACCAGTGCCGGGAACTCCCAGAAGCGCTGGGCAACCTCGTAGACGTCATTTCTCATCAGATTGAGAATCTTTCCAGTGGTAGCAGGCTGCCTCGATGGTTTCTGATCTTGTACCCGGCGGTACTTTTGATTTGTTGATCGTCCACGTCTGAACCATCCGAACAGCTTCCCGAACCGGCTGGTGGGTTCGCTGCCGCTTTCATTGTCATCGGTAGCGACTTCTGTATCTTCATCATCGTCGTCGCTCTCATCGTTTCCGTCTTCCTGGGCTCCATTCAACATCTTCTCGGCAGCCGGCTGACCAAAGTGTTTCCGCGACAAGGTCTTGGCGTAAAGTGTGGTAATCATCTCTCCGCGAGACCGCTCATAGCAGCGTCTCGAGAACCAGAGTTGAAAAACGGCAGCCTGGCAGGCGATAAGACGAACGGCCAAAATGCCAATGGCGTACAGGATGGACACTTCAATGTTCTTGGACCCGCTTTGGATGGCCCTCAGGAGCTGCTGCAGCAACATGGGGACGGAGAGCGCAGCAGCGCATTCAATGATTCCAAGAAACGACTGAATGATCAAGTCTAGACCGTTTGCCGAGAATAGCTTGGCAGTCATAGACCCACGAAGCTCGTGGAATAGCCCGTGGAGGCGCTCATGCTGAAAATCAAACGGCAGTTGCCACACATCCTCGTTATGCAGCTGCTTCTCATAGCCCTTTGAAATCATGGGCGCCATCCACGACACGGTCATGAATCTCCACAGAGAGAGGTTGTCTTCGGGACTGCGGAGCTGGTCGGTGGGTTCGGCGCGCGCAATGTCAGAGTCGCCGAGCGATGGGTCCCGCATCGGCATGGCTACAATACCAATAATGCCGGCCATGCTGATGACCGGGTCCGCTAGGATGAGCGTATGGACTAGTCTGTGGAGTCTGTAACTGAATGCCGTCGAGACAACGCCACAAGACAGGATCGTCAGGTAGAGAAACAACAGCGTCTTGGGCGTCTTGGTAGGCCGATCCATGGCGGTGATTAGAGCGGCAACAATCCAGGGCACCAAGTCTAGTAAGTCAAAAACGCGGCGTGGTTGTGCGAGAGTAGAAGACACGCCCTGAACCAGCCCAGCCAGCGTAACCGCGAAGAGGTAGACTGTCCAGAACGTCCAGGCCTTTTTCAGAGATGGATGTGTCGTATCCCCGTACGAAGACTCCTGGGCAAAGCCAGAGCACCACGCGGGTCTCCTGCGAAGAAGCGGCCTCAGGAGAACGAGGAACAGCAGCACTACCGCGACCGAGGCGCGGACAATGTTGGTGATATCCATGACTCTGGAAGCATTGAAAAGTTGTGCCGTAGTTAGGATCTTCGCCGTCGTCGCGTTCTCTGCTTGGAACTTTGCGTGTGATGGAGAGTGAAGGTGAGACGGGCCGGCGAGGACATCTTGGAAGGCGACATAGCTATAGTACGGCAAACCACTAGACGGCAGCCCGCCGCCGCCGTCCAGGTCTACAAAGCTACTCATCTTTCTGATAAAAGTTTGGCAGCGATTGCCGCCGTCTGAGAAGTGTGGAACCCGGAGCGTGGTTGTGATACCATCAAGCTCCCAAACCGCGGGGCGGGGTGGTGGTTATGTCTTACTGCGTAGGTTGTACGGCGGGGGGGAGGCACAGATAACGGAGTGAGGTTGGAAAATCGGGTACTAGTACCGGAACTCACCGCTCCAAAGGTTCTCACGGTTTCAATTCGTCAATTGGGCAATGTAACGAAGCGTCAATTGGTTAATGTAACGAAGGATCGGGCGCAGAAAGTGGTAGCCTTGTCAATCTTATTCCCGAAATCATGCCTGCACCTGACTGCTCACGTGTCGTCTTCGGATAAGCGCTGCATTGTGTCGCGAAACATAGGGAAAAACCATCGGCTGCATTCAGATGCTTGGTGATCAAAATTGGGCGGTAAATACGCTGCGTTAGGTATGACAATGAAGCATGTTCGCGACCAAGTCCTTCAAGGTCTGTTTCTGGACAAAGGGGTAAAGAAATGGCGAATCGGAGAGGCTTGGCGGCCGCAGTGCCGTTTCCCGCTGGCACCGTCTGCCATTCGGGGCAGAATGAGGCAGCTCACGTGATCTAGAGATCTCTTAGGTAAGCACATCCTTTGACCTTGTGAGACGACCGGATGACATACTGAGGTACGTTTTTCCACAGATGTGGGGCCGCCGACTCTTGCTTCCGAACGGGAACCGGAACTCAGGTACCGGCCTCCGGCCACAAAATTGATCCGGTTTGCCACTCGGCACTTACTCTCCGGGCCCCGATCCGTCTAGGCGGTGCAATCTGAGACGAATGTTGGTTCGTCCCAGCGTGTTTCCCATACGAGACGGCCCCACAATGCGAACACGAACCCGATCATCCATGCATTGACACCCGTTAACCACACCTATCGTCAACCACAGTCACCCCTACCCCCCGCGCCAAAACCACCATCGATCTGCATTGCCAGACATCGCGGCAGCTAGGCATATCCTACGCGAGTGTTACCGTCTACCAAGCTCCATCAGTGTGGAGCCCTGGCACCGTAGTCTCTAATCAGAGAAGCAAGAATTACGCTTATGTGGGAGGTGATTTTAGCATACAACTCATCTCCCTCCCTAAGCGTCATAGTCGCGCTGGACCCCGAGCCAGGGGCTAGGCTAGCGATGGACAAGCAACAACATGGCCTACTTACCGGTTTCCTATGCGAACCCATACGCACCGTTGCACCGTCGTGTGTGGAGGTGCATAGGTGTGTGGTCGACGATGAGACGACTACATAAAGACTAGACACCCTTCATCAACATCCAAGTTCGTCCGTACTCTCAGGCCCTCACAACTAGTCTCCCTCCCACTACCTACCTACTCGTAACTCGAAAGGCCCACCCTCGCCACACAAAACATGGCAAACGCAACCGACCCTGTCGCCGCTGCAGGCACTACGTTCGACCCTCAACACTGGCCAGCAGCGACAGCCGGCCTCGTCTTCATTGTCTTCGCCCTCCTCGCGCAGAGCTGGTTCAAGGTTGACCCCGTGGCTCACGTTCCCGTTGTGGGACAGGGTGGGAAATGGGCACGTAGGAAAGCGTTTCTGGCGGGCAAAGGACCGCAGATGTACGCGGACGGGTATAAGCAGTTCAAGGACAGCATCTTCCGCATCACAACATCCAAGAGTGAGTATTGCAGAAATAGGTCAAGATTATTGTTAACGACGGACTCACGTTGACTTACACGCCTTAGAGAAGGATACCATTTGCGTGCCTCCCAAGTACCTCCCCGAGTTGAAGAAGGTCCCCGACGATGTCATCAGCTTCACCAAGGCCATTGACGAGGTACCGAAGAGCCCACCCCTAGATCTTACAATACTCCAGAAAGCTGACTTGCCCAAAGTCCATGCAAGTCAAATACACCCAAATCTCAAACGACATGCCCATCATCATCCACGCCGTCAGAGCCTCGTTAACCCCAGCTCTACGTTCGTAAACCCCCTAATCCACCCAATATCAAGGACCTTCTCCCCCCAGCTAACATCCCCCCTCAAAAACAGCCCGCCTCAACGAAGGCATCTCAGACGAAGTCATCGACTCAATGCGCCTCGAACTCCCCCAATCCCCCGCCTGGACCGAAATCAACATCAACGCCAAACTCCTCCGCATCATCGCAATGGTCTCGGGCCGCGTCTTCATCGGCTCCGAGCTCTGCCGCGACGAACGCTACCTCGACGCCTCAATCTCCTACACCGTAGACCTCATGACCGCAGTCCACGTCATCGCCTTCGTCCCCTCCTTCCTCCGCCCCTTTGTCGCCTCCTGGCTGCCCACCACCAAGAAGCTCTACAAGCGCATCGCCGACGCCGAGGCCGTCTTCCGCCCCATCGTGACGGCCCGTAAGGAAGCGGCGAAGAGGGACGATTACCGCGAGCCGGACGACATGCTACAGTGGCTCCTCAACGCGCAGCCCAAGTTTGGCGAGCTGAGCGATCGCGAGATGGCGATGGCGCAGCTGGGGGTTAGCTTTGCTGCGATTCACACGACGTCCATGACGACGCTGAATGCGATTTACTGGCTCGCGGCGAAGCCTGAGATCAATTCCTTGCTCCGGGACGATATTCAGGCGGCTCTTGCTGAGTCTGGTGGGAACTTCTCTAGCAGCGCCCTGCAGAATATGAAGAAGCTGGATAGTTTCCTGAAGGAGGTGATGCGCGTCAACCCGATTTCAGCAGGTATGTTTCGACGTATCACACCTTGGGAAACCATACACCTGGCTTTCTCCGTCCGGTTTCTCAAAACTAACACGTTCCCCTTTTTCCACCATTAGCATCCTTCACCCGCAAAGTCCTCAAAAACGTGACCCTCCCAAACGGCCAAACCATCCCCGAAGGAATGTTCATCGAGGTCCCCGCAGGCGGCATGAACAACGATCCCGAAATCTTCCCGGACCCAGAGGTATTCGACCCCTTACGCTTCTACAAGCTCCGCGAGGCAAAAGAGCTAGCCACCTCGGGCACCAAGGCGGCAGAGGTCGTCATGCAGGCCCAGTTCGTCAGCGTCGGCACCACGCACCTGACGTTCGGCTACGGCAAACACGCGTGCCCCGGACGGTTCTTCGCGGTGAACGAGATCAAGATGATTATGGCGAATATCATTTGCAATTACGAGATCAAGTTGCCTGAGGGGGTGACGGAGAGATATGAGAATTTGGCTTTTGGCGCTTCTGTGAGTTTTGTTTTTTTCTCTTTCCCCCTTTTCTGAGCCTCGATCTGGGGGATATGAATGCCCTGCCAAATGGGATGAGCGATGCTGACGTAGACTGCTAGACTGTTCCGGATCCCAAAAAGACAATCATGATCAGAAAGCTGTAAATGGCATCATGGAAGCGAAAGTTGTGATACGGATACGGATACGAGATTTGAGGGGAATGAAGTTTTTGCTACAAAACGTTGCTTCCACCCGAGAAGAGTGCGGAGTAACGAGCGATTTACTTTTGAGGCCATGGACCACCCTGCCCGCGTCCTCGGGACTCCTTGACAGAAAAGTCATCTTGTATTTGGCAGCATCCAATGTACATAGTGCCGATGATCTTTATGCTGCTTCTGGAATCGGCTACTTTTTGATATTTGTTTTCTTGGGATTTTTTATAGACGAGATATCAACGATGGGGGTATCAATTCAAACTTCCATATCATCAACGTCAATCCTCTCAAAGACGCTGCGCTTCGGCCACTCGATCCACGGCTTCCACTCATCCTCCAACGTCCTCTCAATCAAGCGCATCACCGCGCCACTCCACCCGTCACAAAGCCAGTCGGCCTTCTCACACGGCTTTGCCAAAGCGGCATAGTGCGCCAGGATGACGAGCGCCGTAGGGTGCCCGCTGGCCACCATGTCGATAAACATGGCGGGCAGGGTAGCCGACCACCCCCACACCCCGCCGGGCTTTTCCCCCTCGCCCCTGCTCATCTGGTGCGCCCTCCGCAAGCCCTCCAGCGCCAGCACGCATACGGACTGCGGATTGATGACGTCGGTGAAGGACGCGGGCACCTCTCTCGCCAGCAAGGTGATGGCATCGAGGCGCTTCTGGAACACCGACGTCGACACCCAACCGCCCTGCGTTAGTACGGGTGGGCGCAGCAGGCCATCGAGGGGACCCCCGCGCTGCCTCCAGGCTTCTATGGGCTGGAAGTCGAGGATGCCCTTTACGCCGTGGAGGAGAGAGAAGGATTGCGAGACGTCGCTGAGGGCGATGGACCTACCGAAGCTCTCGCTATGTGCGACGGAGCAGATGCTGACGATGAAGATGAGCGTCGCGAGGAAGAAGTAGGCCTCGCAGTTGTCCTTGTTGATGTCGTTTAAACGGAGGGCGAAGAAGCGCAGGGCTTCATTCTGGTGGTTCACCGAGATGATGTCGTACTTTTTCCGCTGTTGCGGGTGGACATGGGCGTAGTGGAGGGCGGACAAGGCCAACAGGCCGTGCATTAAGAATTTCTATGGTCGTGTTAGACGAACTAGTTCGCAAATCTCTCCTCTGTCCATTCCGCCCACTATGTCTTCATGATAGTAGAAGGGGTGTGTGGAATGGAAGCATAGTTGGCCTGTCGGGCTAAGGTTCTGACATACGTGAGAGCAGGCCATCTCGGGTATAGCCGTCTTCCAGAGCTCTTCGGTACAGGCATCCTTTGGCAGGACGTGCCGGGTACTGGTGCTGTAGTGGTGCATCAGGCGTAAACTCTGTAGCCAATCCTCCGAGAGATCCCAGGGATCCGTGGCGGGGTTGCGAGGGTCTGGCGCCGCTTCACCCCCGGGATAGGGAGAAGTGCTGCTCGCTGAGGAGACGAGGTTAATTCTTTAGTCCGAGGAGATTGATGCCAAGGATCTGTGATGTGAGATTGGGATTTGATCATATCATACCTGCAGTGTTGGGTGTGATACCTGCTTCACTCGCCGCTTCTTGCATGCCATGACTAGACTGCTTCGAAGACGAGGTTGACGAGGTC